TATTTATCATATATGTGAGATTATTTGAAATTTTTTGAAAATTGTTACTTATCATATATATGAGATTTGTAAATCTGTGATAGTGATCACCTATATGTGTTCTTGTAGAATACATAATTTTTTAGTAACTATTTCAAAAGTTTGATTATGCCTCCACTAACTTCAAATGTCTACGTTCGCTATTGCTAATTATAAAAATTATTTTTTTGCAATCCATCAAACTCGTAACGAGATAAAATATCTAAATAAATGGATGCATATAAAGGATATTATTAGGGCATAAAAGAGTTTATCCAAAGATTGCAAATATTGAATCACGAAAACGATAAAAAGATGCAAATTAAACCTACTAAACAACAATATATAGTAGAAAAGAAAGAGGTATAGCATCTGCTTGTTTCTTCGTATAACAGCAAGACAAAGGAAATGGAATTCCGAGTAAATTACCAAGTTTGTCCTGTGGTGGTCTTGAGGATAAGGTCACCCAACTTTGACCCAGGATTCATTTTAATCACTCAAGTCTTTTCTTTTGATTTTCCCTCGTTAAAGTTACAAAATTTGTATCCTCTTTTTTACTTACTTTCTCAGCTTGAAAAATCTAAATTTTTGTACCATTAGCATTTGATTTCTTAAATTAGGTGTATGATGCTGCTCAGAAGGCCTCAATTAGGTGTACAATGTCATGAATCTAGTCGTCAAAAGTTATGTTCAATTAGGTGAATGATATTCCTTTGCAAGATGTTAGTTAATACCTCTAATTAAAACCTCTAGATGACTTTTGCGACTCTTGAACCATATTCGTAAACCCAACTTTGCGTAAATTATCTTTTCACTTTTCAATTTACCTCAGTAGATTTTATATAATTGTTTAGGATTAATACAGTACAAGATAATGTGGCATATACAAACCCTTATTTGGTTTTGATTAAAACAAATAGTTTTTAAATTGATTTTTTGTACAAAATTAACGAAATGTGTAATTGAAAAATTAATAAAATTGTAGATTTCATAAAAATATGTGATTGAAAATGAGTTTAAAAAAATAATAATAATAAAGGCAAAAATGGGCTAAGTAATGTCAACTACCTGCGACACCACTCGCTAGAGCTATGTATTAATTTAAATTTGTAAATATGTAATTATTATGATATTTTTACTTCTTAATTATTATTATTTTTATCAATATTTAGTACTAAAATTTTCTACCGAGTATAAGAATGGTCCAAGGAATAGGCACAATCTTTCAAAAGAAAGTCTTTGTTCATTCTCCCTTTGACATTGTAGTTAACTTTCAACAATAACTTGCCCACTTTCTTCAAGAAGGACATAAGCTCCTACAATTCTATGCTATACCTCTTCCTTCTCTACTATAAATTGTTTCTTTGTAGCTTTGATTTGCATCCTTTTTTTTGAATTGGGAGTAGAATATTTTCAATCTTTGCATAAACCCTTGTTTGCCGTAATATATCCTTGATTTGCATCTTTTTATCTAGTGATTTGTTATCTTCGGAGAAACACTTTTCTGCCATCGCAAAGTGATGTCTTTTTCTCATCTCACAGAACATATTGTTACAAATACCAACTGCAGTAGAACAATGACATTCTCCCACACGACCATCCTTATAATATTCCTGGTGAATCTGTTTTTTTTTTTTTTTAAATTCAAAATAAATTACATACTGAAAAAAGGACCAATATCTGGTCAAGATGATGATGAGGTGTTGATTCTCAGGAGGTTTACCGAATACAGATTATCGCAAGAATCACTGAAAAATTGAAATTGTAGAAAAATAGAAAAATGAACACGAAGAATTTTTTTGCCACAAAGGCCCGGATGTTCAGCCTTACGGCCTACTCACCATGTTGAGCATCTACTAAGTAGATATAGCCCTAGACCACTAGAAAAATAACCAAGAACGTTACAAATGTACAAAGAAACACAAAGTTTCTTCACTGATTTTGATCTCGCCTCACACACAACTATTACAATGCCACCACTAACTCGCACTAAGTAATATCACAATTATACATCAAGTGTAGTATCAAAAATCATTCAGATTTACAAAAATTATTTTCACTCGGAAAATATCGATGGTTTGAGAGAAAAAGAGAAACTCTAGAATACACTAAGAATCGATCTCTCTAGAAAGAAAAATGAGGCGTCCAAACGTTTTAATCAGATAAGTCAAAGTGTCATTGATCAACGGTGAGGAGATGGCCAGATGTATGGCCATATTACATCTTTAAAAAAGAGGTAGAAGTCGCATTTTAAGAGAACACGTTTCTCTTCGCAATTGGATCAAGACCATTTCAGTAAAACTGGCTTAATAGCCTTAAAGGGCCAAGAATGTGAGGCACTATTATTTGGGCTCAACAATCTCCATCTTGCTGAACACGTCTTGGCAATTTCTAGTGGCTAGATCACTACTTGTTTCATTTGCTCTTATTATCCTGTAAAACAAAAACAGAAATTAGTTCATAAAACAAAAAATTAGTTAGAAACTTCTAAACATGGTACCCTTCAAACAATGTTTAGAATATTCAAACAATTTTTAAACTTGTTCAAGGGTAGGACCTTAGTTTCCAAATCAGAAGGATTATATTCAGTTGAAATTTTTTCTAACTTAATTAGACCTTGTTCAACCATGTTTCTAACAAAATGGAATTTCACATCAACATATTTTGTGCGATCATGATACATTGGATTTTTACTAAGATGGATGACACTTCGATTATCAGTATAAATTTTTACAGAGCTATTTATAAAACCAATTTCATTCAAAAGACCTCTCAAACAAAGATTTTCTTTAACAGCATCACACACAGCTATATATTCTGCCTCTGTTGATGATAAAGTCACTAGCTTTTGCAATTGTGATTTCCAACTAATGCAAATATCACACAAAGTGAAAACATAAGATGAAGTTGTTCTTCTTTTATCTAAATCACCAGCAAAGTCTGAATCAATGTAGCCCTTAAGAATTATGCCATCATCACACCTTTTAAACAATAGGCCCAAATTAGATGTTCCTTTCAGATATTTCAACATACATTTCATAGCAAGCCAATGTAGTTTACCGGGATTTGACATAAATCGACTTAATATGCTTATTCCATGAGCTAAATTTGGTCTAGTACATACCATGAGATACATAACAGATCCTACAGTGTTAGCATAAGGAATTCTTTCCATTCTTTTAAATTGTTCATCAGTCTTTGGTGATTGTTCAGTAGACAATTTAAAATGATTGGAAAGTGGTAAGGAAACAGGTTTACAGTCAAGCATAGAGAACCTTTCAAGTATCTTATGCACATAAGCATATTGTTTTAGGATTAGTGTGCAATCATTTCTATTTCTTTCTATTTCCATCCCAAGAATTCTCTTAGCTTGCCCTAAGTCTTTCATTTCAAATTCAAATTTTAACTTTGCTTTAATAACATCAATTTCAGATCTCTTAAGGCATGCAAGTAACATATCATCTACATATAAAAGTAGATAAACAGATTTAGGTCTACCTGACCCTTTGAAAAAGAAACAAGAATCATAACTGCTTTTAATGAAACCTAAAGTCTGAACATAAGAGTTAAACTTTTTATTCCATTGTCTGGGGGCCTGTCTTAGGCCATAGAGAGATTTCTTTAACAAACATACCTTTTCCACAGTTGACTTTACCTCATAACCTTTTGGTTG